CCGATTCATGAATTTGCTTTGTAGGCATGCCACTGTTGGGTATGAAACTAGTCCAACAAACCTGGTATGAGCGAACGTGATGAGTGTTTTGTGAAGTTTGCGCCTTCTTTCTAGACTTCCGTTCAAGCCATTGTGCTCCAAGTGGGGTACTGGCCTGGACTAGTTCTTTTCTGTGCCTCAGTTAAGAGGACTTCAACATTCTTTCTTTCGTGTATACGTCGGTCCTGGTTGATGCGAGCGACACCTAACCAAGCAAGGGAAAGGGACAGGGCTCTTGGTTAATAAACACCTCACATGGGTTTACAAACCTAAACCTGAATTTAAATAAATATTTATAAACTGATCACAAATTCGGGCCCAACAATGTAACTTTCGGGCCCAATTGGTTTATATCCCTTAAACTTGTATGGCCTTATTCGGGCTAAAAACCTTTTATGATTTCGCAACTTAAACAAAACAGAAGCGGGAAAACACTTAAATACTGCAGGTATGAAGAGAAGTGCAGATACAAGCATAGTAGAGTGACTTAAAAGCAGGTTCCATCATTCTTATTTGTTTAGTTTTCAAATCAAAGGCAGAGATAATAAAGATCCATGTTTATTGATTCCGGATTATAAAATATATTATTACGATTATCTAAGGTTGTAGTCAGCTAGATTATACAAATTCAAACTGAACATTCTCAGGAAATAGTCATACCATGAAGATGGCAGAGAAATAAAAAGATAGACACAGGAGTCGTTTGGCTATCTGAGATTTGGGCGAGTTTGATTGAAAATATCTTGAGTGTTTTGTAAGACTTTGCGTCTGGTTTTTGGAGAGAGAGTCCCCTTCTTCTGTGCTGGAAGTTCTCTATTTATAGGTGCAGGGGAGATCTCAAGTGATGATGACTGAGCAAGGATGTTTGGCTGTTGTCCAAAGTCAGCTTGCTGATTTGATGTCCTGGAATGGTCCATAGTGGGGGTGATTGGACATTCTGATGAGAACCGCCGGGCTTTCGAAGTAGCTCCCTGGTTTGAAGCGTTTTTGTATTTGAAGATCAAATAGGCAAGTTGGCTTTTTCCCGGTTTGGTGGCTTCCTTAGGCGGCTAGTTTTCTTGCTGGAAGAGAGAAAAGTCAACTCGTCATTAAATGTTGATGGTCTTTCTCCAACCTCGCATGGGTCTGGGGGAACAGTTATTGATTTTTTTTTCTTTTTCGCTTTTTAGCAGTCCAATCACTCTGGGCCCTCTGCTCTTGGGCTTTGGTTTTGGTCCTGTCTTCTCTTGGTGTTTCTTTTAAACAGAAAGGGGCCTCTTTAAAAATAAAAAATAAAAAATAAAATAAAAATAACTATTAGGCTTGGGCCCTTGCCATGCTTTTTTGAGGAAGGAACCACTTTTGGTCCATTGACCAAAATTGGGTACAAACAATCACACACTCAAAAGTCTCACACAATACACTATTTAATGAAATACATTCAAATCAATAAATTTTTGAATATCACGATACTTTTATTATATTTTAAAAGTCTTTATTGAATACCACTGGACTTATATTAATTATTTAAAAATCCTAATTGAATACCACCAGACTTTTGTTGATGACTTAAAAATCCTAATTTTGGGGTGGTTCTCAATATGGACCCCAGGGTAATTGTCAACCAGTCACCCAGTCCCTCAGCCACCTAGCCATACAAATGTTATTTATTTATTTATTGTGTGGGTGCAAACCAATATATCTTGTGTTCTGTAACAGAACTTCTGTTTTCGTGATTCTTGAAGGCAATACCGAATGTGTCAAATAGGCCCACTCAACCAGTCACCAAGAAATGAGTTCTGACCAAAACAACCTTAAGGGCCGGAACGGGTACTGCATAAGTCCGACTTGTGGTGTATTCAATTGATATTTTAAGGGCAAATGATAAAAGACACCCTGTTGGTTTGGGGTGGTTCTCAATATGGACCCCAGGGTATCAATTTTATCAATTTACACCCTTACGTTTGCAACATCGTCCAATTTCATCCTTCCGTTAAGTTGACCGTGTGGTCAATCGTTAAATGCTGACGTGTCTACTGTGGGATCCACCTACTTAACAACCAGTTCCTTAAAAAATTTATATAAAATTATAAATGTAGGGGTCTTTTTCTTCCAGTAGCCAGACGAATGGGCTTGGGCTGCTGTAAAGGATGAGCGGAGGAGGTTGCCCCTGTTTCTGAGTTCAAAGACCAGGCTCCAAGAGAGTTTTGAAAGGAGTAGTGACAACCTTAGAAAACACCTTGGATTCTTTCACTAATCAACCAAATAAACGTGACAAATTAGCAATGGAATGGCTTGGCATGAGGAGCTTGTGGCATGGGAGCTAAGCTTTCACAAGTTTAGCAATTTGAGAGAGAGAAAAGCATGAGTTTAGCATAAACAGAGAGAAGGCTGTGAATTCCTATGAGGAACAGGGGTTCTAAGGAAAGGGAAGTGATTCTAAGAAGGTTGGCTAAGGGGGGAGAGAGATGAGGAGGAACGATGGGTGGTTTAAGTAATTTTCAGCAGCTTGACGAAAAGTCTATCAAGATCTGGAATAGCTTGCTAGAAGAGAAAATTGGAGGAGATGGAGAGTTGTGGCTCGAAATTGAAGGGTTCCAGAGGTGAGAGATGATGCTTGCTCTCTGGGTCTGGTTTTGCTTGCCTTCGATTGAGTTGTTTTCAATGGGTAGAAGACACTCCCTTTTATAGCCGATGGAAGCTCCTCCTTCCCAAGAAACCCTAAAAGCTTTTCTCCAATTTTCCCAAGTCTCCCCTTCCCTTTTTCTTCTCTCCTTTCGATTCATCCTCTTTTATGCAATTTTCCTCAGTCCAAACACACCAAGACAAGGTTTTTGGGAGCTCTAAAGCCTTCCCGCAACTGCTCCAGCGTTGAACTCTTATTTTTGGTTATCATCTCACCTTCTTTCCTTCCCTCTTCTATGGCCAGACCTGGTGGGAGAAAGAAATTGGTAAGGGCGCTGGTCTGAATGGTGTTTTGCTCAAGTATCCTTTGGTTTTTTGGATGGCTTGTGTTGGGATTTGTCTTTGGCCATGTGCTGGAGGCTCCCAGCAGTCCACTCACATGGGTAGCTTTGGTTTTAACCCAAAACTTCCATTTCTCGGCTCATCAATGGGCCTTATGAAAGCTTGTTACCATCCATACCACAACCCACTCAGCAAGCCCCGAGCATTTGCGTGGCTTGGGCCCACTTAAGCTTGTAGCGTGGCTATGTGTGAAATAATGATTTCCTGCTTGGCATGGCATGTTGCTTGGCGTGCTTGAATTTTGTCGTCTTTGAAAGGAGACATAATACTTGACAAAATAATTAGCATGAGCTTGTAGAGCCAATGCCTTTTATAGGCTCATTTTAATTCTTAGCGTGATAAATTGCATATTTATTTGGCATGGCATGTGATCGTGGTTCATGCAAGCGTGCATGAAGAATTTCGCATGCTCCGCATCGGGTTTCTTCTTACTAAGGTGTCGTACTGGGCCGGGAATTTATTTGGGCCCAACCCTTGATTTTTTGGGCCTCAACAATAAAATAACATAAATTTTTTAAAAAATAGACTTTAAAAATCTCAACCCTCCCCAAGCCAACAAACCCAACACCTATTCACCCCTCCTCACCCCGCACCAACCCTAGCCCCCATTCCTTTCTTTCTGGCGGCGGAACACCATAACCCAATTTCAGTAAGAACCAGTCCCAATCCAGCACGCAAAATAACCAAGGCCCCAAAGCCGTCACTTCAGACCATCAACTGTTGCAGACCGTTGAGCTCGAAAATGGAGGAGGCAAAAGCTGTGGTGTACTACGACGACTTGACTTGGCGCAGTGAAGGAGCCGCCAAATTCAAGCAAGGCTTGGGCTTCTCTTTTGCAAGGACATATTTGGGTTCCTAATTTGTGTAGGGGTTGTGAACTGATTTCCTAAATTAAGCAACTTGATCCTAAACAAAAATTATGTATGTATATGCATATATCTCACCAAAGTTTACCAGGAAGATCTAGATCTGTGAGTGTTCTTCTTTAGGCTGCTATAATTAAGGCATTTGAGAAGTCCTCCTAGTGTTCTTTCCTTCATGTGGGTGCATGCGTAAAGCCGAGAGGGAAAGTGTTAAGGGGGTGCAAATGCAGATATCTGAGTGTTAGAACTTGGAAGGCATTTATTTTGTAAGATTTTATGTGCACAGATTGGTATGAAGAAATAGGAGAAACCAGTGAGAACTTACTAGTCAAAATGTTGATATTATTTAGCTGTTTTTATCTGGGTTACTATTACCTACCTATTGCCTTAAATTTCTTTAGGCTTAAAGGAGGTCATTCAACTGCCAAATATATGATTATTACTCTCCTTTCAAAGCTTGAAGTGAAGTGAGAGCCATTTTTCTGAGAATTCATACTCTAACCCGAAAAAGGAGTCGGAGCTCCAAAAGCAAGCCCAAATCGAGTGGGACAGAGAGAGAGAGCGGGACGAAGAGAGGGTGAACAGGGGGTGCTCGCTGGGTTTGTTGGCCTGGGGAAGGAAGATGACGTTTTAAAAAAAATTTATGTTATTTTATCATTTTATATAATTTTTTTATTGAATTGATTGGTAAGTAGGTGGATCTTACAGTAGACACGTCTGCATTTAACGATTGACCACATGGTCAACTTAACGGAAGGATGAAATTGGACGATGTTGCAAATATAAGGATGTAAATTGATGAAATTGATACCCTGGGATCCATATTGAGAACCAACCCAAACCAACAGGGTGTTTTTTGTCATTTACCCTTAAAATATCAATTGAATACACCTCAGGTCGGACTTATGCAGTATCCGCTCCGGCCCTTAAGGTCGTTTTGGTCAGAACTCATTTCTTGGTGACTGGTTGAGTGGGCCTATTTGACACATCCGGTACTGCCTTCACGAATCACGAAAACAGAAGTTCTGTTACAGAACACAAGATATATTGGTTTGCACCCACACAATAAATAAATAAATAGCATTTGTATGGCTGGGTGACTGGGTGACTGGGTGACTGGTTGACAATTACATAAACAGCAGTCTATGGCAGTTTGGTTGTGTTCACCGTCTCTCTTCTTGTCCATCTCACTCTCTGCTAATAAGTTCCCAACAGTAACGGTCACTTTTCCTCCATTCCCCCATAAGGCCCTCTCATCTTCCCCAATTAATAAATTAACCAAACGGCTATATTCCCTTCTCTCTATTTCTCTGTCTCTCGAAAAACCCTACGCCAATTTCACTTTGTAAATTAACTTTAGCATCATCTGCTCTCCCTCTCTCTCTCTCTCTCTCTCTTTCCCAAAATGCACAAAGGCTTAGCTTTCTGCCTCCTCCTTTCACTCTCCCTCTGTAACTTGATCCCGGCCTCCATGGCCAGGGCCGGCGTCGTTACCATGGAGCTGTGGTGCGTGGCGAAGAACAACGCCGAGGACGCCCAGCTGCAGTCGGCACTGGACTGGGCCTGCGGAGCCGGTGGGGTGGACTGCAGCCCAATTCAGCAAGGTGGGCCCTGCTACGACCCCACCGACATCCAAAACACCGCATCCTACGCCTTCAACGACTACTTTCTAAAACACGGCATGACTGACGAAAGCTGCAACTTTGATAACACTGCCGCTCTCACTTCTTTGAACCCCAGTAAGTGTTCTCTCTTTTTTTATCTTTTGTTAAATTTTCTTTCTGGGTTTATGGTTTAATTGGAGATTAAGAAGTTAGATCACAGATGGGTTTTTGGTGGGTTTAGATATATAGATCTAATTCGGATTAAATAACTTGTTTCTTATTTTTACTATTTTATTTTTCTAATTTCAGGTTATAATAAGTGCAAATTCACATCCAGGTAACCCATTGCAATTTCTTTACTTGTACTTTTTAGGGAGCTTTCAAATGAGGGGTTATGGTGAGGGGTTGCGTCGAGGGTTTTAATTTGGTCGTACAATAATAGCTCTGTGATTGATCGGATGACTATGAAGGATCGCCTCATTATAGTCCCTCATTTTTCAATTAAATTTTGATAACTGGGTTTGGCCCATTTGGGGTAATTGGTTTAAGCATAGAGTAAGAGTAGTGCTTTATTTCAAATCTTGTTCATCTTTCTTGGCTTTTTGTCACCCAAGATTTTCATTATTGGTGTTGTTATGATGCACAGCTTGTCATCGAGCAATGCAAGCCTTTCAAGTCCATCAACAGCGTATGGAATGGGGCCCAGTGAAGATCTCAACGGCAGCAATCAGATTTCTCAGCTATGGATTTGGCATCTCATGACCAGTCTTGTGCTCATTGCATTTTCATGGTTAATGGGTTAGCTTTGCCCCTTCATTGAATTAAAGCTATCAACGCCAAGGGGAACAAAAAGGGAAAACGAAAACGAAGACCCTTTTTGTTTTTTTGTTACATGACAATTCTACACCTAGGAGATTAAAAATAGAATTAGATTGCTTTCGATTTTGTTATCTGTGTGAGCTTTTTGTAATTTGGTTCACAAAATCAAGCAGATCAATATATTATGTGTCTTGCAACCAATTGTAGTGTTGTGGCGCATTTTATGTCAATTTTTTTGCCAACTAAACCAAATACGAGAGTTATTATACTTATGCTTTAATTTAGCTAATTGATCCGCAACCATATTCGCCTCTCGGTAAGTAATTGTAATATGGGAAAACATGTTCAGGATTTTAGCAAAAGAAAATGCTTCTTTTTTCTTTTTTCTGGAAAAAACAAAACCCTTTTAATGTGTGGGAAAAAGTTTATTTTTTTTATTTTTTTTTTTTGGTCTAAACCATGAGGTGGTCCTGGATGGGCCCCAACTATGGGTGGCACCTTTAAGCTTTAACCACAACCCAGACTAATCCCCACTCACACCGGATCGGCCCGTAAGGGGTAAAGTGTTGGCCAAAGTGGTGACTCCGTACGAGAGCAAGGATCGAACCCTTGACCTCTCTTAAGAAATGTTATATTCGCCGCGCGGTAAGTAATTGTAACATGGGAAAACATGTTCAGGATTTTAGCAAAAGAAAATGCTTCTTTTTTCTTTTTTCCGGAAAAAACAAAACCCTTTTAATATGTGGGAAAAAGTTTTTGAGTATAAAAGACAATGAGCATGTGGTGGCCCCTGATGGTGATCAGATTAACATTTGTTATTTATTTGGAGTATTGGAGAATTTACCACACTGTTCAATATGACATGAATTATTAGAGAGGTACATTGCACCACTTCCCAAAAAACAGCTGCACTGCATTATTTTGCGTCCTGACAACTCAAGCAATTATTTAGTTTCTTTCCAATTCGTTTTATGCAAAGAAAAAGGAAAGTATCAAAATATAAAGGAAGTGCAAGTTTAGAAAAAAAAAAGAAAAAAAAAGAAAAGAAAAAAGCAACATGCATCTTTCCTCCTATGGAAATTCAGGCATTGTTTTTAGACTCTAGGTTTAGGGTTTAGCTTCGTTGGTGGATGGAAAGTGAGCAAAAATATTGGAAGCCACGGGATCCTTTTCTCTATTTGGGAGTTCAATTTGAGTACACAAAAAGGATGAAAAAGTTGACCCCGGGGAAAAAATAAAAAATAAAAAAGATGCAAAAGATCGTTATATCAGATTGGATCCTCCGAAAAGATAAAAGAAATCAGGCCTATGGCTAAAGGTTGGGCCTTCTTTCTTTTGGGTCAATATCACCTTGAGTTCTCATTTTCCTTCAAAAAATTTATAGTTTCCGGCTAGCTATCCTTAAGTAAGTTTTGTTTCATATTTTATTCTTATGTTTCTTTAGTAGACTTCTAGTTCAAAATATGGAAACACTTTTATACGTATATTATTATCTTGATAGACAAATGATCATTCTTTCTTTCTATGGGCATTTTTTTATAGTTAGATGATTGCCAAGATAATTTATGGGCACTGTGTGACCTTGTTAATTAGCCTTTATGCAGTTTTATGTTCAAGGCTTGATATCGAGTTGATATACTAGTCACCTGACTACTTGGCAAGACCTTATCTCGAATTTGGTATCAAGACCTAGCATTTAAATAGTATAATTGGGATAGTAAAGTAACTTGAGTATAGAAATCATTCATACATGATGTGATAGAAAACACAACACTCTTTTTAAAAAGCATTATTTTGAATCAAATGATTAAAAGCATTTGTACATCAAATGGTTATAAGCACTTTTCTTATTAAGATGTTGAAATTATCATAAGAAATCCAAGTGCTTCCTGGAAAAACACTTGGGAGTGCTTCATGAAGAAGCACATAACATGCTATGTGTTTCTTTAGAAAGCGCTCCACGACTTAAAAGCACTTCTAACATTTTCTATCAAATGCTGTCATAAGCACTTTTGCTTCTTCAAATTTGTAGTCTCAATCCTTCTTCAAATTTCTTCGATTTTGCATACTCATCAGGACCAAAACGCATCAGTTCTTCAAACTTAGCTTAATATTGTCCCACAGTAATATCACCTTGACAAAGATTAGTGAACTCACGTACCTTAATGGTTTTCTTCGTTTCAGGAAAATATTTCTCCAAGAATATTGCCTCAAAGGCAACCCAGTTGCAATCTCAACATCAGGCATAGCCAAAACAGATTCCCACCAATGACAAGCTTGTCCTTCCAAATAGGTAGAAGCAATGGTCACTTTCAGGTTCCAGGAACTCTTTGTTCATTCATCTTTCTCCTCATTTGTCTTAACCATTCTTCTGCTGCCATAGGGTTTGGATCACCCTTGAAGACAGGTGGCCAACCCTTACGAAATTCTCCTTGAACTCTCGTTATTTAATCATCTTGAGTTTTCTGATGCGATTCATGATTATGTTGATTCGTTTCACGAATAGCAAAGGCCATATCCCGAATGGCTAACATTATTCTCATACTATCACTCACATCATTCTCATTTTGTCCTTCTACTCCAACCATCTTAACAGTTGAACCTTTACCAAATAATTCGACAAGATTAAAATATATATATTCTATAAAAATTAAATAAAACAATATTAAACATTTATAAATTACACTAGAAAAACATTATAGAAAAGCAAACATGCTTATTAAACATTTATAAGTTATTACAAACCTATTTCACAAAAATTAACAAAACAGTCACAAACCTATGTTACAAAGAACTCCCTACTCCAAGACCTCCATAAGGCTGCCCACAAAAACAATATAAATCCACCATAGCAAAATTAGTCTGTTAGGTTCACACTATCCATTTTATTAGTTAGAACTAATATCTATAATTTCAACAGGAGGGATAACAGGCTCATGATATTCATTCTCATCATCAGAACTCAGGTTGATGACAGTTGGATTAGACTTTTCTTTTTATGGTCCAGTGATAACCACTAAAGCAGCAGACACAACAAACTCAGCAAAAAAAGCATCAAGGTCCAGAAGTTCCAAATATACTTCATCTTCTGGGTCTAGGAAATGGGGTAAGTCTAACCCATGTGGTTCTAGATATCCCTGGTGGTGGCCAAATATCAGCAGCTATAATTGCAGCATTTTGCAACACTTGGTCATAAGAGTGTGCTTCAATATTTAATTGGTATTGACTCCTAACATTGTTGGCCTGTAACCGATATCTAACAACCATTCTCTGCATCTCTGGTGTTAAATTAATGTTTAGGATGCAACCCTATCACAGTGATGATACATGGGAAGGGTTCCAAATGGGACTCGATGACCTCATCCTAGTAGACGAAGAAGTATACCATAGCCGTCTACGCAACCAGGCTTATTTGGACATAGTTAATGAAGTTGTTGATACATGATATAGGAGGATGTTCTATACACTAGAGATGCATAGACATCGGTTGCAGGCCAACAATGTTAGGAGTCAATACCAATTAAATATTGAAGCACACTCTTATGACCAAGTGTTGCAAAATGCTGCAATTATAGCTGCTGATATTTGGCCACCACCAGGGATATCTAGAACCACATGGGTTAGACTTACCCCATTTCCTAGACCCAGAAGATGAAGTATATTTGGAACTTCTGGACCTTGATGCTTTTTTTGCTGAGTTTGTTGTGTTTGCTGCTTCAGTGGTTATCACTGGACCATAAAAAGAAAAGTCTAATCCAACTGTCATCAACCTGAGTTCTGATGATGAGAATGAATATCATGAGCCTGTTATCCCTCCTGTTGAAATTATAGATATTAGTTCTAACTAATAAAATGGATAGTGTGAACCTAACAGACTAATTTTGCTATGGTGGATTTATATTGTTTTTGTGGGCAGCCTTATGGAGGTCTTGGAGTAGGGAGTTCTTTGTAACATAGGTTTGTGACTGTTTTGTTAATTTTTGTGAAATAGGTTTGTAATAACTTATAAATGTTTAATAAGCATGTTTGCTTTTCTATAATGTTTTTCTAGTGTAATTTATAAATGTTTAATATTGTTTTATTTAATTTTTATAGAATATATATATTTTAATCTTGTCGAATTATTTGGTAAAGGTTCAACTGTTAAGATGGTTGGAGTAGAAGGACAAAATGAGAATGATGTGAGTGATAGTATGAGAATAATGTTAGCCATTCGGGATATGGCCTTTGCTATTCGTGAAACGAATCAACATAATCATGAATCGCATCAGAAAACTCAAGATGATTAAACACAGACATAAATCTTTTCACAGTAAATTGATATTACTAAATTAAGTGACATACAATCACACTGCCAAATATCACATTATTAATAATAATGCATGAATGCTCTTCACCTACTCCAATTAATTCATATAACTGGACAAGCAGAGCTACACGTCCCATACCATGCTTATACCACTTGGCCCCGAATGCCCATTTATATGAACTAACACTCATTTCAATCATCCCATAATTTCTCATTTTGTTAGTTATCTTGTCTAACTCTTTGTTGCCAATCCCACATCACCCAATAAAAATCATGTGAACGGTGAGATCCCTGAGATCTGGTACCTACCAAGAGTTAGAGTCAACTACACAAAAGATTATTTCTACTACCCTCTTTTCCATCATTATTTTCTCAATCCAACAATTCCAGCAAATTCCCATGACATGATATAATTATGCCCTTCTCATATCCTATGTATCTCACAACAATGTAACCATTTAAAACATCACTAATGTATATATAATTATACTAACATTGTTTAAATAATTAACAACACGTAAACACCCAACATGAAGAACATTATATAATATTAAGAACATCCATCAAATTATAATATCACGCATAATATAGTGCTCACGAAATTTAATTAAATCAATTCCTATAAAGGGCCCCCCAAGAAACCTCATATCTTGACACCAAAGCTTTTGCTAGAATTGTAAGGTGTTTTCCAATTTTCCACCGCATCCACAAACTCAGTCTCCCACTTTTTTTCTTAACAATCCTACTTCTCTTTACCTCTCTTTCTCTCTTGCTTTCTTCGTTCCTTTGCTATGCAACTAATGACTTCTATATATACAAGGGATAGGTCGGCTACAACTCATTTTCTATTGGATGGTGAACGGCGGTTTATGTACTTACTATC